TATGTGAGTAGTGTTCCGCTCCAAGTCGTTTAGTTCGCACACAGGGGCAAACATAACTCACAAAACGAACAAACCAGATGTTTGAGGCTATGAACAAACAACTATACTGTGGAATATGATGCCCCAACCGGAAATGAACATTACCATCGGGGCCTAGAAATCAACGGAGAGAGAGAAGGACAGATCAACTCACTCTTGTGGTTTCAAGAAAAGATCAGAGTCAGAGCTGATTTAAATCTGGTTTGCTAGGTACAAATGGTCCGAAGTTACTCCACAACGTCCAGTTCCGGGTGATTATGGATACCGTCACAACAAGCGAATTAGATGCAAAAACATCTTTCCATTCGCAGCGCCTCATGTTTTATTTCTTATTTTCATCGTATTCGGCACAATCACTTTGTGAAAGTCAACGCATCACACTAGAAACTCGTGTGACCTAGTTCTAGAAGGACTACGTGCTTTAGTTGATGAAATTTGGGTATGTTTATATATGCATCGAACTCAGAACGGAACATCATACTTTGTTAGTCTCACGCAAATCGTCGTAAAGGTGCTGATATCCCAAAATAACTAACGAGAGGGACACATGAGGTGCTTTGGGGCAAACCATGGCAAAGTGAGCTGTGCTCCGCCAAAACTTAGATTCATCCACATTTATGTTTCTGAACCCCAACAATCTGGAACTCCATTTTTAGCCCCCTGCTCTGCTGTGAGTCACAGCCATCAGCAGTTTGCCCATTTTTTCCGAAATCAAACTGTGTCGTTAGTCTTCAGGACACTACGAACGCTAGTTTACAGACGTGATAGAATTATCTAATCAAAAACTACCTTCTGTGAGTAGAACTTGTCCTACTTAATGTGTCACTATTCTTACTGAAATTCTCCTGGAAATCTGCCAGAAAACAATCAATGGACGGAATCACCTTTACCAGTATTTTGTAATCCGTGGAAACTGGGCATGTGCTGAGCCCACAGTTTGATGAACAACGTCCGATATCCGGAAATTTGGTGTCATGTCTAGCATTCTGCCATCTAGTGTACAACAGAAAAATGTCACAACGCAACCCTGCTCTTTGTAAATTAGAGCCAGTAGACCTTGTCTCCTTGCTGGTTGTCATTCACTGAGCTATTATTAAGACATTTTTAAAGCTGTCTTACCGTACAGGAGAACCTTGGGGATTCGCTCAACGGGCCTGACGAAGCTTTTGTGTCAAAAGCGAAAGGTTACCCAGCAATAAATCCACCGATTGTTTACCAAACCTCTCCGAAATCTTCGGGGTTAACTGAAAAACGTTTCGGTAAAAAACTTTTCGAAGCAGTTTGTTGGATATTCGAGGTAGGGCAAAAAAGTCAGCTGTGAGTGATTCTTTCAGAGATGAATCAGCTCTCTGATTAAGTGAAAAATGTTTGGAACTGCTCAAAAAGTTATCTTTTAAGAAATATTTCCTGAAACAATTGGCTACAAAATAGTTCCGAAAAGAGTCTTTGAAAGGATGTTTCAACTTGCGAACATTTAACTTTTTTATAGAGAGATTCGCTAATTTCTGCAATTTTGGTTCAAGGGGAACATGAGGTTGACGGAAACTTGGGGACTGCACCTAGCTGATGGGCCTCAGGAAGGGCGAAACCAGTCGTGGGCTGTCGAAGAACTTTCAGAAGCCTTATGAGTAGTGTATAGTGTGGTCTATACATTATTCATCTTGTTGAACTTAAGCTCATATACTCCGATGCATTCCGCTTGTTGACAGTTTAATTCCAACCTAAGCTTTAATATGTGAGGTACTGAATCTTCAAATCCTTTAATCCTATGCTCGAGAAAGCCCATCTACGCAAGCCATACATACTTGCCGAGTGAAACATCCCACTAATAATTTGAATGTCGGCAGGAATTTCAGGAAGGGTATAACTTAAAAACAAAAAAACAAAGCAACCTAATTTTCTTTCTCGAGTAGCTTGATCAAGCTTACTTGAGGTAAATGGGCCGCGTTATTCTAAGATATTCCTTAAATTAGTATTTTCGCCCGGGATACTATTCTTCTCCTGGTGCCACTGAAGAAAAATTCAATGGTTTCTTGTTAGGAAATGCACTTCTGCAGAGGTTCGTCTTAGCTATTTCTACTTTACACCAGCATAGCTTTACAAATGAGGTTCGACCAACAACACGCCGCAAACCTGTTCGTTATCAACTGCCCCGAACGGTCTCCAATATTTCCGTCTTCCTGAGCTGTTAGGGTTAGCTGATGTAAAATAGTGAAACTGAAGTTGTGTGTATTACGCTTTGAGAATTACCAACAAATTCGGGTAATCACCTGCTGAAGAGGCTGATATTTGGCGTTTTTCTTGTAATTCCGCTTCATACCGACTGTGGACACTGCTCAATCGTAGGCTTTCTTGAATAAGTTGCCGGCCAGTAAACTTCGATGATTTTTCTTTGAGGTAAGCTCATTCACTGCTTGGATGACCCGAAAATCTGAAACGCTATAAGGGAGGCTCACTTAAGTCCCTTGTAAACTTTTTTGCCGATGCAGCAGTAATTTCACCATTCGAAGGCCCTAAAAAACCCGTCCGTTTCCCGACAGAAATTTTGTAACTTTCCTTTATGGAAATTTTTTTTCTGTTAAATGTCGTTGAGTTATGATTGGGCTTTTTGAAATTCATTGGTTATTTACCAATAAACTGGTAAATTGATTCACATATCTGTGGAACAGGCGTGATTAGGAGCAGGTAACCGATGAGGATCCGATTACTTTGTCGTGCAAGAAGATCCTAATAATTGTCTGACGGTCTCTTTGAAAACGCATCCTGTTCGATATTACAATATTATCCTTCACGACTGCTCGAATAAGCGACACTTTCCATCCGATGCAATCGGCGGAAACTTCTAAGCGTGCTTTATGCGGCACCAATAAGTCAATATACAGTGGCGAGGAGCTACTATCTAGTTAGGAACTACCCAATGCCAACAGAAGGACTGAATCTCGGAATACACCGTGTCAGATGCGTTAACCTACCGCATTGCTAAAAAACGATCGAAGTCAATACTGGACCAACAAGGAGACCGATGAGGATGCTGCGTCAAAGGCCGGTAATTAAGCAGAGAACTTCTCGGCTAATCCATCCTACTTACCGCATTTAGCAAAATAATCCCTGACATTGGTGGGAGGCTTTTTCGATCAGCAGAACCGACTCAAACCGTATGCACTGACACGCATCTCTACCCAGGATTGAGTCTACTACTTTGTTGCACGACGCTAGCTGTGGCTGTTCAAAAGAATCAGAACCAATAGGAATCACCGATCAAGTGATGAACAGAACAATTCATGGCAAAGATGGTATTCCTGCAGTGATACTCAGCGCGCGTCAATCCACGACCCATTCTGCTCACCCTCGGGGCAGTAAAGTGATTCCATCCGATTAGAACACATTTGTTTTTCCACTTTATTTATAAAAGTGTTGATGAACTTTGGGTACTGTGCCTGCCTAATGAGCCCAATGGAGGGCCAAACTTGTGGTGGCTTGTTGAAGAGTTGTCAGCAAACTCAGGAGTAGTATGTTAATTTTAGTCCATAAACCTGCTCCTAAGTATTGTTGCGTAGTCTCATTGAACCTAGATTCTGAAATATCTGCCATCCTTCTCATGAACTGACTCGATGGCAGAAGACACTGAGGCACTAGATCTAGCCAAGTAGCTTTCCCAGGAAAAGTTTTTGTCGACCATGTCTTCACTCTATGTATTGCTTTATAATAGTATTAACAGTCAACCGTCATCCAATACATCAGCTTCCGGGTGACGCTCCATTGTGTGAACCAAAAAGCAGTGTGTAACATATCGACATCGGACGTTAAGCCTGTAAAGTCAGTCTGGCAACTGATGTCTTGCCACGTGACCATGACGGCGCCCTTCCGTATGTGTGATGAAGAACCGTTGGACTTTGGCTTGTCGTCTGGGATTACACGGGGTTGTCAGCTGTCTGCTCTACATTTTTCCTTTGTGACTGACTGGATTTGAGTCCAAGATGTTAGCGGACATCATGGGGTGAAAGTCTTATAAAATGTGTCTATCATGGACCTAGAATTCGTGGATGGCGCCTTCGCTGTAGAACTTCACAGTCTACTGCAGGTTCTCAATGGATTCTGTTTGTTTTCTTCACTGACCATGAGATCGATTCCTCAGAGCCAGGGTACCTCCTTCATCAGCACCCAACTGCGTAGAGTTCAGAAACTTCGGCTTAACCATTCCTCCAAATGGCTTGATTAAAGATGAGATCAAGATCCTCTTGGATATGGCTTGCAGAACGTTTCTACAACTGAGGCGTTGTTCGGAAGAGGAATTAATTTGAGGACCAAGATTGCCATCTATGAGCATGTCATCGAATCTGTTCTTCTTCAATCTTGCCAAAACTGACCGTTACGGCACACAGATACTTGAAAGATTGGGATTTTGGACCACTGCATTTTAGGAAACATTTTGGGTGTACGCGCCCAAAGCCTCGTACCAAATGAGGAGATCCACCATCAACGCATTGTTCGACGCAGGCAGTTAATTCAACATGCCCAACTTTGGTGGTTTGAACACGCTCTTTGCCGCCCATCTTAGGACATCGAGGCCACTACTATGGACTATGTTTAACATCTGGCTGTACATGCGCACTATGGCCCATGCCACCCAAACCAACGTTGGACGGATGTTTGTAAGAGCATTACTGCTGACATCCGTAGCAACTGAGACTCAAAACATGGCTCGTACGTGAGAATGGTCCTTCGATTAGAATACAGTGATTTTCAGATCATGCTACAGGTGATAAGTTTTTTATCACTTGGTTGGTCAGATGAGTTCAGACAACGATGTTCATGGTTTGATATGGATGCAGCGAATGTACGCGACCACTTTACGCAAAGGCCTATCCCCATCTTTACGTGTCTCAACACCAATGAATGTTTCACTGTACATCGATCGATAAAAACGCTCTTCTACTTGGGCAGAGGGCAGGTCAACTTACCTTGGGAACTCTCCGCCCCATAAGTATTGCCTGCCTTAGCCAGAATAAACCAGTTCCCGGGCATGCAGTGCACGGTCTAATAGGGCAGCGGGTATTTCTAAATCTAGTTTTGATAGCTATCATGTGTCGCGACATCTCGAATATCGTAGCAACTGGAACATGAGGGGTCTGGTGCAGCACATTCAGTTGCCTGGAAACATCACAAACGAGATAATCAGCCGAGTTCCATGTGAGTCTCTCACAGAACCAAATTTGTTTGCAAATGAGTGTCTTTCGCTAAAACTATTAGTTTCTTGAGGGAAGCCCAATCAGAAGGTTACTGAAAACCCTTGAACAGCCCACAACGGGTTTCGCTCTTCCATCGCCAGCTCATCATGTGGATGCAGTCCACTAGATCCCGTCAAGCTTGTGTTCTACTTGAACCCAATTTGGATAGAGTTCACTAACCATACTCATTCACAACATATAATTTGATGTTACCGGCAGACTCAACTGAATCCCAGCTGATATTCCTTAATTGAATGTGCTGTACAAAGGCCGCCTTATATTTCAGTTACTGTCAGTCTTCAGCAGCCTTATGGGTTGTTTTCTTTCGAGAAAATACACTGCAATATCTTGAATATCGTGTCGGAAAAAACATGAGGCGAGCTTTGTGCCGCACAGTCAGTTGAAGAATATCGTAAACGAGGGATTCAGCTGGGACTCAGTTTAGTCTCCCGTTGAAATTAAATTGGTTTGTAAATCGGGTTTATTTCATAAACTATTAATTTGTTTGTGCTGTGGTATCCACAGAATTTTTCTGGATTAACACAGAGGGCCCAAAACTTACCCTTACTAGTGAAGATATTCACGTCGAGGACGTTAACGTACATCCCGTTGAAATTAAATTGGTTTGTAAATTGGGTGTATTTCATAAACTATTAATTTGTGTGTGCTGTGGTATCCATAGAATTTTTCTGGATTAACAGAGAGGGCTCAAAACTTACCCTTACTAGAGAAGCTATTCACGTCGAGGACTTTAACGTATTAGTCTCCCGTTGAAATTAAATTGGTTTGTAAATCGGGTTTATTTCATAAACTATTAATTTGTTTGTGCTGTGGTATCCACAGAATTTTTCTGGATTAACACAGAGGGCCCAAAACTTACCCTTACTAGTGAAGATATTCACGTCGAGGACGTTAACGTACATTCATCAGTTAAAACTGACCGCGATAGGTGCGACTGTCGGTTCAAAATGCTTTAAGAGCCCAGTCAGAGTATCTCTGACTAGGTCATTTAACTGAAAAGGGCCTGTCAGCATTCCTTCCTGTGAAGTAAAGGCCGAATTCATCTCGCTCTTATAACTGAGCCGAGCTGGTTAACGCATGACGAGTAGCGATAAACCAGAAGAATTAACTCTACCTTTCTGTATTACATCTAGAAGAAGGTACTTCGTCATTCTGAACAATAACCTAACCCCATTCTAAGACGGCCTTTGCACCGTAGATTTATGTGAGGAACGCAAAACCTGGGTGTTTATTCGATGCCAGTATGACTCACAGGTTCGCATGTGAACGAATATCAGATCCAAGATTCGCACGGTTTGGTGTTCGAATAATGGGAGGTTGGTTAAAATTAAGGAAATACGGCTACTCGATGGACTCCAAATGAGGTAAAACTGGTAGTGGGCTATTGCTGAGTCATCGTCAGCCTTCATGTATCACTTGTGATGGTGAAATCTAATGATCAATTTCTTCAGGTAGTTGTCAAATCTATTAGACTAGGATAATAATCTATTGAAATCAGGTACAAATTTTGATATAGTGAAAAACTGAAGACTAACGGGACAGATGTAGTCCATTTCTAACACATCGGTTTACGAATGTGTGAGCAAGCGTATAGGATTCCGTGAAACTTCACAGTGGAAAAATATTACAGTGCAACTAAATTGTAGGCTTTCTACACCAATTCGTTCCTCGAAATCGGTCCAGAATAACAACGACAGCATTCAGTTCTTATCAACCGTTAACACATCGAATGTGTGAGCAAGCGTATAGGATTCCGTGAAACTTCACAGTGGAAAAATATTACAGTGCAACTAAATTGTAGGCTTTCTACACCAATTCGTTCCTCGAAATCGGTCCAGAACAACAACGACAGCATTCAGTTCTTATCAACCTGTTAACACATTGGTTGTTCGTCTCCCACCAAACCGACTAACGCCAGAGGGCATTAGATACAGAACATGTTGTAACCTACGCTGAAACACCGCCGCGTGTGCAGCCCCACCGAACACACTTGCAAGTCCAACCGCAAACATGACCCCCTCTTCAAATGTGAGCTCATATAATGACTCAGGTACAAGTAGGTGACAGACGGCAATGACAATGGATGCCCAATTAGCAAGACCAATATGAGTGGTGGCGTTGAGGGAAGGAAGAACAAAGCAAACTAGGCGGTCGTCGAAGGACAATCCGGTGGGAGCAAAATGACGGAAAGCCAAAGCAAACTGTTGATACTCTGTTGCAGATCAACGTGAACCCAAAATTCAATTGGACTAGTAATGAGAACCTTAATGACCACTTGATTTTTTGCTACACCCCAGACAGATGTGAGGAAACTTCCCCCGCGATTTTCTGCCGAATTTCGAACTTATTTTCCTAATTTGATGATTTTACGAGCAGCAACTTAAATACAAGTGTGGAAACTAACTTGGACATTTTGAGACGTCCGGTGAATAAGCCTTGCTGGACAAGTTTCTTCCAGGAAATAGTCTTCCCATCATAGATACATATGAAGTAAACAACAAGCGTTTCGTTAGATCTGCATGAATTTGGCTTCGTGACTATCTCCTATTATCGCCGGACTTGTTTGTTGCTTGTTATGCGATTTTTATTGACAACTTCGCTATCTCCTTCCAAGCTCCGGCATACTGCTTCTCTGCATGTACATAGAACTTTTTTGTAACCAGTCCCACAAGACAAACTTGACGAGTGTACAGATATTTTTTTCGCATATCGTTCCGCCTGAAACTGGAAAGTGATTAGAACCCGTGATCACTCTATCCCTGAGCAGCTAGTGGCTGATTAGTGGTGTTGTTGTCTTGATCTTCGACTGTGAGCACTGTCACTCAAACTTCGAGCGCACAACTTTATACCTGGTGCTGGTTGGCTCTTTGGATGGGGACTTCCCAATAGGAAACCAGTGTATCATGGTGTGAAGTTTTTCTTTATTGACATTACTTTCTTAGCCTTTCTGTGTGAGAGCATCAAACGGCAGACTGATCGATAGCTGCTTCTTAGTGGTTCTAAACATCTTCCCATTCAATCAGTGCAGATGCATGCACATCACCTGGGTGAAATGACCACCACATACTTTTGCATTGATCTACCATCCTGTGGATGATGTCGACCGTTTGGGAGTGGCAGTCACTGGCTTGATGAACCGACTTCGTTGCACGAAGCTGAGAAATTTGGTGCAGAGAAGTGAGAAATAAGATGTTATAAGAGAAGGCTACTGAGGATAGAGATGAAGACGCAACACATTAATGGACGGATAATTCCACTGTCTAGATTTACAAGTGCAAATATTTATGCCACATTCTGGTATTTCAGTCAATAATGCAAAGATGAGAAGATTCACGACAACAAAGTGAAGCGTTGGAACATTCAACAGTCGCGCAACCATAAGATGGTCCCTTGGGGTTAGTACCAGTGGTCCTCCCGGACATAATCTTCCCCTTCCAAAATTTTCTGAAATTTTTTTATATTATCACAAACGTCATCTTATATTTGATTTTCACCAACTTTCGTTGTTCATTTCCCTCGATTCAGACATGAATAAGTGGAAGAATAAAACAAAGTATCACAAGTTGGACGCGGCGGTGTGTGCACGAAAAAACTAAAATTGTGTTTCAAGTGTCTATTTGCACGACACTCAAAACACTGTAACTACAGTGACGCAAATAACTTTCCCGCATACAGAGCTAAACCACTTACCAAGAGAGCAATACGCTTGGAATACCTTCAAAATCTAACGAGATTTTTTTGAAATCAGTCTGTTTATTGATGTAAATTAACAAAAACAAGATGCTTGAAGGCAACAATGGACACAAAACTCGTAAACTTCCAGCTGTACACACTATTTGCCAAAAAAACACACTAACCGTTCTTGATCTGTATGCACATAAAATTATTTTTATATGACTGTACAGTTAATTCATTGAGCCATGTATAACGGACAATGCTCGTCATGCCTTTCCGTAGCTCATTCCAACCCAGGCTACAGTGTGCCCTCTATTCGTGAGAACTTATTGCACTTTACCATTTACAAGGACATCACATCCAACCCATACAACGATAGGCAAAATCCAGCTGCCTGCATATCGATCCTCATGCAAGTGTTCGATCTGCTGTTGATATGTTGATGGGTATTCACTGGACCAGCTATATGCCTATTACAGTGAAACGATGGCTACGCAGGGTCTAGTAAGCAGAGGCTACTGGATTAAAAAAGTGGAAAAGGCACGCAAGATCCATCTGCTTGTACTAGCAGCGCAATCAGCCAAGAAGTTTAGATATTCGAAATCAGCTCACGCGTCTGGTTAACAGTTCTGAAGACAGGAACAGTGGGTGAAGGCATTTTCACTCTTGACCGTATCCTCTAGATGTCCTTTCAAGATATAGCCTCAAATGAAAAGTGTTGTTAGGCAGCATAACGAGAAAGCGTGTGGTAACCTGAATTAGGAATGTTGACTGGACCTTGGGCTAGACTCGTGTGAAATTATAACTTGCCTGATTTGACAGGGTCGTAAAGATAATTCCGTTCCCTAGTCGGCCACGCGTGGTGGCATCCCGATCGGATCTTTCGGTCCACGGCGTTCAAACCGCTGAAGGCCTGCACGGTGCTTCATTCAAGCCCCTGAGGCTGATCTACACCCGAGAGAATGTGATCAGCGTGGAGATGTGCAGAGGCCTGTTAGAAGCTATCACTGGGTCTAGCTATGGTACCGCAACCAGTCGATTTTTCGCCATCGGGAGACCAGAGTCGACTCCCCATATATTTAAGCCTGATCCCGTGACCGACTGTGAATCTGTTTAAATACCCAGAAAAAATTATCTAATTTTATTTGCACACCAATCGTGTTTTTTGCGCTCACATTTGCATTCCGATCCCTCATTATGTTCATAATGTTTACAATCAGGTGCAAGACTTGATGGACTGGTTTTTAAGGTTGAATTGTTCCATTCCTGATAAGTCCACCATATATCTTTCTTAAGATCTTTTTTAAAATCTAGATCTTTCAGCTGTAGCACCCTTTCGTTGCCTAACTGCCATGCCACCCGAAGGTTGCACGAAGGCTGAGTTACTGCCAAGTCACCCAAGTCTACACACGGGAAGTCGAGAGGCGGAGGTCGGGTTCGAACCATGGACCTTCCGGTCAGTAGATTCGCGCTCTAACCACTTGGGCCATCTCGCCCCGATAAGTCCACCTTATGAATGTCTGAATAAGCCGCTCTGGATTAAGAGCAAAAAAGACCGGTTTTCAATAATCGAGATAGCTGACAGTTGAATACGACTAATCAAATAAGGAATCACACTGACCCGTTTGTTCGGAATCACAACACGATACCATTTTGAAGAAAGCAAACTTATTCATTTCGGTACCGAATCTCATCTGATAGTCTTACACTTACTACCTCGTAGCCTGGTGATTCCTATGTGAGTTGTTCAATAGTAATGGCGTCGAAAACATGTGGCGAAATATACACGGACTTTAGCTTGTTTTGACCATTGGGGCTTTCGGATTAGTTGCAAAAAAAAGTCGTCTGTCTTTCTAGATTATTAGTTTCCTATGGATAGTAGTGCACCATTCAGCGATAAACTTGCAGCTCATTTGTTTCACCTGGGAATTGAAACACACTTAATGCGTAGGGGTCATTGTTCACTCCTCGTTACCCTACTTTGTTACATCGATATGGTTATGTGAGTCTGTAAGTCTGTAGGTGTGTGAACAGCTCACCGAAAGCGACTCACAAACTTCCCAAAACACGTTTGCTTTTTCATCTTGTGATTGATCTAAAATTAAATTAGCGCGTGCTCTGTTTATTCATTTAGCACAGTCAAATTGCTTACTGCCGCCTCTTACTTGTAATTCACTCCCGAGGTGTGTGACTACTACCGGCCGTAATTCTCGGCCTAACCCTGGTCAATACAGACATTCACACACGTGCGCACCCACCTCTGTGGAAAGTGGGAATCACGGATCTAGCAAGTGTCGCTGCTGATTTTCCCTGCTGCAGGTTTACCTCGCTATTCGGGGTCCTATTAATTCAGTCAATTAGCTTCTGCATTGCCTGCAGCGCGCGAATGAATGGCCCCGAGGTATGTAGGTAAGTTCAGGTACAGTGGCCACCACTGTGGAGGCAGCCGACCATTCGGTTTGTGTCTGTGTGTGTGGTGCCTGCCACATGTGGAGGGAGAATGAGTGAGATATGGGTCGTCCCTGTCAACAAGAGTTGTACAGCCCCGCCGGTAACCGATATACGCCATCGATAAAATCTTTTCCGTGAGGTGAATGCGGCTGATCCGTAAGTATATAAACCTCCAGGTTGGTGACATTAAGACCAAAACGGGTGATCATCCACCACAACCTAGAGAATTCTAAAAAGCAGACAGAGGTCTGTTTATAAAAAGGGTAGACAATGCTATTTGACCGGTAAGAAGAACTTCGTCACGAACTCATGAGTAGTGTACAGGAGTATCAAATCCATTGATGAGCAGGTCTTCTTTGTAGTCAAACTGCCGCAAAGTTATGGGAGTAGGCAAAGCATATTTAAACCGAAAAAAATCAGCCTAAAATCGATAGTCAGAGTGTAGGGAGGGGGGAACTGGTATATGGTTGGGCAGCCACAAAATGCTGGCAATATATACAGGCAATTCAGGGAAGGCGTCTTATAATGAGCACGTTTATGGTATTGAGAAACAAAACAAAGTTGTCGACAATACTACTTGCCATTCATATTGAGAACAATAAGTAGTCGTCCCAAGCTGAAGTCCTCACTGACAGGGATACCCGTGGAACAGTGCGTGAAGTTGAACTAAGCAACAATGGGATTTCCGGTTGATATTGAAGATACCGACTCCCAAACACGGACTTGTCATTTGATGCAACCTATGCAATTCCGTGAAATCTGCGAAACGCAGTGGCGGCTTTACTGCTTACGTTGGCGTTCCGGGAACCAGTACAGGATTCAAAATATAAACATCCGCAAAGGAGCACGTGTTTGATGAACTCAATTAGTAGTGCTGAAAAGTGTCACTCTGAGTTCACATGAATTCTATTAGTTTGTTTTCTGTCATGCCGGACTATTTGATACTTCGGAAATTATGAAAGTTCACCAAAACAAAAAACAGGTCTGTCTGAATTTTTTTCTCTCGAAAAAAAAACTCGGAGAATTACGAAAAATGGAGGTCAAGATATGTGTTTATCAAAAGTTTACAAGAACTTGAGAGAAAAGTGAGCCACAGGGTTTAAATTTTCATAGATCCCTTCACTACAAACCCACATAAACGAGAGTTACACCACGTCTCCATGATAAAGTGCTTTCGAGAAATGTTAGTCGTCCTCTAAAGACAGAAGTCAAATCAAAAATTTCCTGCGAAAACTGCTCAACTGAACTCGAGCAACCATAAACCTGCAGTTCAGCTGTCAACCAATGGTGGGCGGATGAATGTACTTCTCACATTGCTTGTAATCTCACTTCAAGCGAAACATGAGACAGACGAAACTCAGGCCCTGAGCCTACCCAGGAAGGGCAAAACCGATAATGGGCTGTTGACGAGTTTTCAGTAACCCTGTCAAAAAATATTCTACCATACATCAACTATCGTATCGACTGAAAATGAGGCAATCTTGTGCAGAACATTTAGTTGAGGAAGAAAATAGAAAACGAGCTGGATCCAGTTCAGCTGACTCTTCCACAACAACCAAGGTAGTGTTTAAATGAGAGCACGGCGCAAAAGAGTGTTGTTTGGATGAGTACGCACAGTCACTTTAGTTATTCCCTTTCACTCTGAAATAATGTCATAAAAGAAGCCCACTGTATGAAAGATAACGAAGTCAACTACTGAGCTATATGTAACTTGAAAAGTATCCAGTTAGAGCTGGCCGATTCAGTATTCTGAAGGAGCCTAACAATCGGTCAAATCAAACCACGTCAAGTTTATCCCGTGTTGTTCAAGGCACATGAAGCAGATATCGCACGGTTCTGAAGGGTCTTCTCCCCAATAAGAGATTACGATTGGAAAATCGCGCCGTAAAGTCTACTCAAACAAGGAGAGTCTGTTTCTGTTGAGGGGTTTCTCGTGATGGCATATTGTTTGCTATGTGGCGTCACTCGGACAGAGAAAAGTTATGCACGTTAAGATGCTCATAGTTTATTTGTAATGCACTACTCATAAGGTTGCTGAAAATTCGTCGACAGCCCATGACCGGCTTCGGTCTTCTTAGGGCTCATCAGGTAGGCGTGATATCTCGAGTATCGTAGCAACTAAAACATTAGGCGGCCTGGCGCAGCACATTCAGTGGCCTGGACACAACACGAACGAGAGATTCGGCTAGATTCCAGGTGAGTCTCTCGCAAAACCAAATTTGTTTGCAAATGAGTGCATTTCGCTAATGTTCATAGTTTTTCTTCAGTTGACTCCAAAGCACACAGATTCGTGTTAGGCCAGAACGTTTCGAATCATCTTGCGGACCACAAGAGTCACACTTGTTGAGGAATAGGTATTTATTTTTTGGTTTTGAGTGAAACACAGTCATGGGTAAGGAAGGCGCACTTTGGTTGGATCCCGTATCGTAGGAAGTAACGGTTACTAACAGCAGGTTGATCAGGCACATCCTGGCTAGACTTAAAGCGAGAAAATATCGGTGGATCTGCCCGAATCAATGATACTCATTCAGTTCAGTTGAAGTTGTTCTTTCAAAAACCAGCATAGGAGGGGACTTTTACGTGCCTACAATGGCGATCATCACCATCATGAGGCCACCAAAGGAAACGGTCGTGCGGTACCCCGTATTTTGCGTGCCAACCATCCAGACCAATTGAAAATGTTGACGATCACCCTTATACTATCAAACTTGTCCCCTGAGGGTGGAACGCACGATAATAGTGAATGCAAGCAGCCGTGTTTTAGATCGTTACATGTATGCACTGGAAGGACGAACGATCAGAACCGAGAGAGTTAAGTATGGCACGTGTTCGGGCAACAGATGCGGGTGGCTGAAATTTTGCGTGAGATGGTTCGTCGGGCAAGAAACTGAAGTCGGTTGTACTAGTGAAAGTGTGCTTTATGTCCTCACGGGCAGTAGAACATATGAAACTTGTGTGACCATGTTTAGAACCCTGGAAGTTACTTCATAGTAGTTCTGTTGGTCGAAAGACATGCGTTGCACTGTTGGGTCAGAGGAAAGATGGAGCTGGTCGAGTCCAGTTTTCAAAGCTCGTTTTGAAAGTTTATCCTTCACATCCGAGCCTTTTCTCTTCAGTGTCCACAAAGGTGGTCCAGGAGAAATTGATCCACCTTTTCAACTGGCATTCCGAAGTCCCATTCATTTGGCCATCAGGACTGTGTTGTGCAATTATGTAGGGAATATCTTTGATCTGCCAAGTGAGAATATACATAACAACTGACCAAGCTGCTGTAGAGGATGGCGCTACATTCACACTTAACAGATGAACCCATTACTCAGTGGCTTTCACATAGGATAGTATCTAACATCTCTGTAACAAACGGGTTCTAATTTCGATCTTGGTTACCAAAGGTTCGAAACGTTTTCTGACACCATCCTCTAACACGTGGGCACACCGTGAACAATTCACTGACATGTGGACAGGTCTTTCGTTTCTGCTCCCTTCATTCCATTTCAAATTGGGAGTGTAGAGTAAAAAAGTTTCATAGTCTATGGAAATTTATTTCCCAACTGTTTTGCGATTACTGGTAAATGCGCAGATTTTGCAGTGAGTAAAGCTCATTCTGTTGTTGAGTGGCAAACCCATAGTGGCTTGATTAGTAGGTAATAGCCGCTCGTTTATGATATTCTACAACTGAATGTGCTGCATACGGGCCGCATCATGTTTCAGTTGGCACGATATTCAGTTGTAGAATATCATTAACGAGAGATTCGGTTGAGTCACTCGTTAAAACCAAATTGATTTGCAAATCAGTGTATTTCTCAAAAACGGTCCAATTTGGGTTCATGCAGAACATAATGTTGACGGAAACTCGGGGACTGCGCTTACCTGATGAGCCTCAAGAAGGGCGAAACTGGTCGTGGGCTGTCGAAGAGTTTTCAGTGACCTTGTGAGTAGTCTCCTGTAAGTAATAGCCTATTTCAAATTGGAATTTTAAGGTACGAGTTGTGCAG